ACCTCAGATTTTGTATGACTTGGTTTGGGTTCAGCATCGACCTTGGAGCTATCTGGTAGTTGAGTATACTGACTAGTAGCTGAGGTGATGTAACCAGAAAAGTGTTAGATTGGTTTTAGACCAATGGTTAATTTGATATTATTCCGCTGTGCATAAGTTGAAAGGATCTAAGCTAGGGAATGACTAAGGTAGTCTTGAGCTAGGATCTGAGTTAGCCCTCGCCTATGGGCGATGTTTTAAATAAAGGGCAAATTTTTTAGAGGTTCGGTCAGGGTATGGACCGAGCGACGTGAGGCATCGACCGCGGCCTAGTCGGCCGGATCGGGTCTTACAAAAACAGTATTCGTTGAACTTGCGGAAACAATTACCAATCCCATCTGAGAGCCTTATGTCCTGCAATTACGATCAACTCATGTTACTAGCCGATACGAACACAGATCTTCCGGGTTTGCTTTAGTTAATATCCCTTGCAAGAACTCCATAATATCTTATACCGTACCCTTTCAAGTAGCGTACATAGTTTAATTTGATGCATATGTCGTAGGAAAAGTTATGTCTATTAAAACCATTCTCAAAGAAGAGAAACATAGTACTCAACGCACATGACAACCATGATGATTGAAAGGTCTATTACAACTTTCCAGCTTTAATTTGCATGACCCATTTTCAGGGTTCCACATGGATAGTAGTGTTACTCTTTTGTCTATGCAGGGACCCAAGTGAATGTCTGAGTGTATTCGACAGCTTTGTCATGCTCCTGCATAAAAACTTGTTTGCCTCTGGTGTAGAACCAAAAGTGAGAAGTTACAATCTGATATGCTATTATGCTATTATGCTATTGTCTTGAGTTTATCTTCTCTATTATAGTCTACAGATTTTCTTTACAAAAGTTAACCGAAGGCTTCAGACAGCTTATGATTCACACTTGGTAACTATTTATAAATGTTTGACAGTAGTTCCTCTTAGTTGTAGTTGCAAAATTAGCACTCTATTAGCTGTTTATAGTATAGTCCTAAGCTTCTCTCCCGAGTCCTGACATTTTTAAATACTAAGTTCTAGAGCTTCTCATATTTTAAGTTTACCTTAAGTTGGCAAATCTCTTGATTCATGCTTGGAACATTATAGCTGTGATTGTTGTTTTCCTCTGAATTTATCATTTATGTGCAACTGAACAACCATCGTGGGCCTCAGTTGGTTTATCGGCGCATTGCTAATATTGATATGGTTTGGCTATGGTTTTATAATCTAGAACATTTTTGAATAGATTTTAAAAAAAAATGTATTGATCATATGGAGATACATTAATTTGATTGTAGTATCTGCATAGTTATTATAATAGCTTAGTTGTTTATTATTTGATTGAAAATTATTAATTTTAACTATGATTTAAGATTAATTTATAAATGTGGACCTCATCATGGTCATGGAGGTAATTACATGATAGAATCCTTGATAGAATTTCAAAGTAATTTAAGTCTAAATATAATGATTTAAGATTATTTTTTATATATTGGTATAAATAGATCCTTGATAGAATTCCAAAGTTGATTATTGTTTGAAATTTATCATGTTTATGTAGGTAAATGACAATCATGGTGATGATATGCATGGTTTTGGAGCTTTGAATAGAACTCCACCTGTTTTGACACCTGAGGAAGAACATAAGAGGTTTACCTACTCATGTGATGCTGAAGGGCATATATGGCCGTAGATGATCCAAATGAAGCCCCTATTACTGTCGGTAAAACTGTAGACTAGGAGAGAAATTAGCTCATGAGGAAGGTCTCTCTGCCAAGAAGACCCACGAAGGTCAAGTGTTAAAGACCAGGAGTGATTGAGACTCAAAACATTCTTACAGCTTTTTTGCATTCAAGGCTTTAATATTTACATCATCAAAAACTAAGAGTACTATTTATAAACTTATAGAGTATATTATCAGGATTCTTTTTCAAATACCTGTAAATTACATCTTCACGTTGCATTGTAGAAAGTAGTCTTCGGGTCTTCGGCAACAAAGACATTTGTCCTTTGTATTTTATTTCGGCTTTCATAATTACTTCAGTAGATTCATTTATGAATGTAAACATATCTAATATATGAGTTTGATGTATATATTAACACTAATACTTCAACTATAAGGTTTTTGTACTTCTCTCCACCATCCACCTGTAACCAAAAGTTGAGAAGAGCTATTTAAATCAATCCCACTTCTTCGTTTAAGGTTTTACGAAGGATAAACAAAATAACACCTAGATACACATTAGCTTTTTGGACCTGAACCTTCAGCTGCCTAAGACTTTTAATTATTCTTTCAGCATTCGACGGTAAGCCAGAATTTGTTCTACAAACAACAAATAAAATTAGGTTGACAGAAACTAAAAGTGAACTAAATTATAGTGTGTGGTTATTTAACCAAAAGGTAAAAGAATGATACAAATAATTCTTTCACAGCCTTTAACGACATTTCAACAACGAAATTCAAATGACATGTGTGGTTAAGCAGGAAGAAGATAGAAGAAGCAGAATATATAAACTTTGTTCGGCCATCGAGAAGAAGCTCTCTATACTAATACAATCATTGTAAACGTACTCTTTAAATACTAATTTTTTTTTCAGTTATTATGGTTCATTGGTCTTCAAATCTGACAATATATATTCAAATGTTAATGATCAACAAGTATTAGGTTTTTATGCGTGTACCTAACTTAAAATACTTTTTATTACAGTGAATCGGCTATTGTTTTTCACATCATATACAACAGCTAAATCAAAAGTTGTATAAAATAAAAAATAAAAGGTAAAACAAAAAAAAATAAAAAGGAAAATAATACAACTTAATTCAATCGACCACAAATGTTTTTTTTTTAAATTTATTCTTATTCCATAGTCAGATTAGAAAACCATATACAAAAATATTTTAAAAAATCATTTACATGAAAAAAATAGTGGTCAAAAAGGTATACAATCTCAAAAGGGAATAAAAAAATAGATAGTATTTTAAAAATAAAAATTAGTAAAATTTAATACTGTTTTCAAAGTGTTTCCACTTCGCTTTGCTAATCCACTTCTACAAGATGATTATGGGTTTCAACGACCTCCTGGAATGAAAATAAACCAAAAACGCTATACGTTCTTAACGTCTACACACTCAACTTCTATGCTACTTTAAAATTTTAAATTATCAGGGTTGAGTATAAACAAAGTTTACATGTATAACTTCATCGCCTCACAGGAGTAGCTTATCGTTTGCATTTTCTTATCTACATTTTAAAAATAAACTTATTCCAAATTCAACTATATGTGAATGACTATCACTTCAACTATCATATGTCATCTACGAGAATTCATAGTAAACACTACATCTACGACAACTTCCTTCTAAAACAGAAAAAGGCGTTCGTTTGTGACCTATTCTTTGCAAGAAGTTCATTTTTAGACAACCCAAAATAAATTTTATAAATAAAAAAAACAAAATTATTATTCTTATTATTTTTTTGGTCAAACATCTATATCCGGCGCTACGCGCCGGCCACCCCCTAGTACCAAATAAATTGAATGAATATTATTTTTAAGAGATGAAGTATATATATATATATATATATATATGGTTCAAATAAAACTGTTCAAATCGATTAAACCAAAAAACTTTATTAATTAACATATATTATTATATTTATATGCAATTTTTTAAATAAAATTAATAATATATACAATAAATTATTTAGTAATACAATATCCATATTTAAAACATTGATTTTCGTAATTATTATTTTGTTCTAAACTTAAAAGATTATTTTGTTTTTCTCATTTTCATCAAATTAAATAAAAGATAATTTTATTTCTACTGATAAATTGTGCTAAAATATAGTTTTTGTTAATATTATGATATTAACAGTTTTTCTTATTTTTAGTAGTTAAATAAAATAGAAAATATTATATTTAAAATGAGTGTATGGAATATATATTATATTTTAATAAATTTTATTTCTAATCATATAAAGTAAATAAAAGATAAATATACTTATGGTTTGTGGTATAGAATTGAATAAACTGAAGATTGATAGTGTAAAAATCGAACTAAACTAAAATAGATATAATATTAACTAAACTAAAATCTGGATCGAAACACTCCTAGTTGGCTTGAGAGAGATGAATGTGTAGAAATCATATCCCAAAAGAATGACGTGTCCTCCTCTTTTCATAAGCAGCCACAACCCACGAGAGACCACCAATGACGTTGCTCACTTTCCTTTTCCAAACTTCTATTCTGTAATTGTCACAGTATATGACCGACCCCTATCTTTTTTACTTTTATCAGTGGAGGCTCCTTTTTTCCCTCTCTGAGTCTCTTACTCCAGATTCACTGACATTTCTCAAATTCAGAGCTTTCAGAAGAAAAATGAGATATCAATTATTTACTGGTTAGGCTAGTTATTTACCTTTCTTCTATCTAAAGCTTCTCTCTTTCTATCTCCTCTGTATAGAGAGAGGGAGAGATGGGCCCATATAAAATCCTTTTTGTTTTCCAACTGTGCTAGCTTTATTTTTCTATGATCTCCTGTGGAGGGAGCTTAATGCCACATGACTTTGTTGGGTTGTAAAATTTCGAATAAAGCTTCCACCTTTTATACTTATTTGTTATTTCTCTCTCTCTCTCTCACACACTTTTTCTTTGCAATTGCCCAATTGGGAGAATCCTCCATGAAATGAAAACTGGTAATGCTTTTGTCGGTCATCGATTAGATTAAAGACACTCACTTTAAATATTTATCTTTGTTTGTCAAAAGATGCCCGCCAAGAGAACGAGTGATCAAAATATATTTATTCTTTTGCTCTTTATTTGAATGTTGAACAGTGTAAAGTTTTCTTTTTTTTTTTTTGTTTGTTGAACCAACTTTCCCAAATTGAATTCCCTCTTTTGTTTTGGGTTGTTGATCAACTCTGGAAAATTAAAAGCTTTAAATTTTCTGGTTTCAGCATCAAAGCTTTTTTCCTTTGATATGATTAAGGAAGATTGTTTTCTTGACAAAAGTGTTGTCAGATCAACAATGTGGTTGGGTATTAAAGCGTCAAGATACGCCAGCTCCTCTCTCTCTCTCTCTCTTTCTGAATTTTTATAAGGTTTGAGAAACTGATCATTTGCTTTAGTGTTAACCTATCTCTTGTCTTCTCGTTCTCTCTCGCCTTTGGCTTGGCTTGAAAGATATCCCAAGTTACTTCTTCTTCTCCTTTTTTTTCTGCCGTTTTGTGCGGCGACCAAAGCTGGTTCAGGCCATGCTGAATCTTGGCATCAAATAAACGTTTTGGAGCTTGTTTCAGAATTACTTCTGCAACTTGCAACACTTGTTGCCCTCTAGAGAAGTTTGGAATCCAAGGTGTTCAGAAGAATCTAAGGTACTTTTCCTCTCTAGTCTCTTCAGAAAGGGAAAGGTATCTCATCGTACTCCATAAGTAATGGGACTAGTTTCTCTATTTCATCAAGCTTTCGCTTGGTTACAATAGTATTGGCCTGATCAAATTAGTAGAGTGTAAAAGGCATTTGATTTGAATTGTGGAAAGTGGTAGATGATCCTTTACTTCTTATGTTAACTTATTCCTCAAGAGTTCCATTTGCAGTGTTTCATAAGGATAATATTTTGTTGTGGAATTTTCGGGCCTTGTTATTGTTGTTTGTTTCTCAAGGATCTGAGATTGTTATTGGGTATTGGTTTATATAAACTAGAAGAGTTGCTATTTTTTATCTTAATATGTTACCGTCCAGTGTGGTGTTTCCTGTCTTATTTGTTGCTGCTGCTTAATAGTTTTCTTGTTCAGCTTATGCTAACTCCTAAGGTACATCGTTGAAGAAAGCCATGGCGAAGAAAACTCGACGACGGCGTGCAGCTGCTGGACAGGAGAGGGATCAGTTAGGCTGCATGTGGGGATTTATGAATATGTTTACTTTCCGTCATGGACCACTCTCTCACAAGCTGCTTCTGGACCATAAGCATGGTATCCCCCCCCCCCCCCTGCATTTTTTGGATTTTGCATTACCTTGCTAAAGAGTTTTTTTGGTTAACAGTTCTGTTAATTGTTCCATCAGCTGCTGGAAGTCCTAGGAATAATGAACTTGACAAGTCGAAATGCCACGATAAGGATGCTCAAGAAACCCATGTAAGCTTTTTTAACCTTATTAAAAAACATCCTCTTAACCTTTTTTTTTTTTTTTGGATCCTGAGAGTCTCGTGTGGATTAATCTAGTTGCTACTTTAACTGTTAAAAGGTTGGTGAAGAACGCAATGTCACGATTACGATTATAAAGCCAAGTGTGAAGAAACTCATAGCAGAAGAGTTGTTCAATGACAAGGAAATCAAGAAGCTGAGGGAGAATGCTGAAGCAGGACAGTTGTCAGACTCTGAACTCGAAGGTAGAAGAAGGAAAAGTCAGAGGAGAAAAAACAAGACACGCAAGAACAGCTGCGGTAATTTTAGCCATATATACACAGCTGACAGCGAAGAGCCTGAGGCTAACCGCAGAACTAAGAAGAGCCATCATGGCTCTGAGAGGAGTCTTGACATTGATAATATGGTTGAAGAGTTCTGTTCCGAGATACATCGCAGAAGTGCAAAGAATGGGATGTTTAACCACAAACACGAAGATTATAAAGAAAAACTGAGGGAGTTGGTCAGGGTTTTAATCAGTCAGAAGCTTTTACATGGAGAAAATAATAGTGAAATCCTTACATCCAAGGACTTAATGGAAGTGTTTCAGATTCTTGGGTCGGATGAGGAGTTGTTTCTCAAACTTCTGCAAGATCCAGAGATACTTGTGCCTCAAAATTCACGAGACTGTCAAAGTCAGAAAGGAGAAGAAAGCTTGAGCTTGTTTGAGAAACAATCTTCTCTTGCTGATAAGAGATGGTCTAGCTTGTTCAGGAGGAAGGATACAACACAAGAAGTGACTGATGACAAAGAATGCGACCGTATTTTCATTCTGAAGCCAAGATCAGCAAGCTTTGACACAGGAACTAGCCGGGGTTTGTCACCTGATTCTCATTTGATGAGAAACAGTTCACATTTCTTTCTTTCTGAGATCAAGAGGAAGCTGAAACAAGTAGTCAAAAAGGAACAACGTGAGGGGGGATTCGGGGAAGGGTATCCAAAGAATGTGCCAACAAAAGATCATTTCTTTCTCGAGCGGATGGCAAAGCCTTCAACATCTCAGAAGAAATCTCATTATGAGGATGATGATGACAAAAAGCAAAGGGTATCTAACATTTATGTAGAGGCCAAGAAACATCTGTCTGAGATGTTAAACAATGGAGAGCTAGATTCAAACTCAAGGAGCAGACATGTTGAAAAAAGCAGCCTGGGAACAATTCTCTCCGTTCCTGAGTACTTGTCTCCTCTAAGGAGCCCTGGAATAAGATGTGAAAAGAGCTCACCTGCACACAGGAAGTCTGCTTCAGCGGATTTCATAAATGATGTGCACATCAGCAAGAGAGAAACTCATGTGAGCCTACCAGAAAATGCAATGAAAAATGATGATATAAGTAAAAAACCTGACAATTCTATCCAACCAACCGCAAGTGAACCTACTGATATAAGTGCTACCGAAGATAAAATCTCTGCTGCAGGTAAAATATTATTTCTACCCTATTGTAAGGCTCTTTGTTCACTCTTTTCTTAGAATATAGTAATTAATCTAATAACCAGCAAATCGTCCATGTTCTGCAGATGATGTAATGATTACCAATGAGATAGATATAGTTCCAGAGGAAGCTAGATCTACTTTGGTTGGTGACTTATCCAAAGCTGAAGCTCATGATGAACAGAGAGATGGTATAGTCTCAAAACAGGCAAGTCATTTTGATTCAACACTATAATATTATCTTTTCTTTTTAATGGACTTTGAATTGAAGAAATTGCTGCTTCGTTTCTTCTACAGGCCTCTCATGAAGAGAGACAACCACCACTGTCTTCCTCTGTAGCCTCCCCATCGCACTATTTAGCTAAGAGTGAGGACTGCAAATCAGCTAGTCATGATGTTCCGGAGTGGTCAAGCCCAATATCAGTTCTTGAGCCACTCCTCATTGAAGATGATATAAGCCCTGCAAAAATGCGATCTCAGTCTGGTATGTAAAAAAAAACAAGATTCCATCATCTAGTAATTAATTAGTTTATTCATTATGAATGTGCAATCATTGACTCATCTTTACAACTCAGATGAAGCACAACTGCAGCCATGGTGTATCCACTTCGATGAAAAAGAAGATACAGCATCGAAAACCCGAGAGGATTCTGTCAAAACCATCACAAGTAGTGACAAAGACCTGGTGTTTAAGTATGTAAGAGATGTCTTGGACGCTGTTGTCTCAGATTTTGAAGAGCTCTATCTGAAGGCGCAATTCTCTGATCAGCTTCTTGAACCGGCACTGATCAGCAACATACCATTCTGTCCAAACCAGCTTTGTCATGACCATGAGCTCCTCTTTGACTGCATCAACGAAGCTATCATGGAGCTCTGCTGTTGCCCTCCATGGGCTTCGTTTGTTACGCCAAGAACCCGAGTCTTCTCTACCGTCAAAAGCATCATTCACGAGGTTCAAGAAGCGGTCTACTGGCATCTCTTGCCATTGCCACTCCCTCGCGCGTTGGATCAAATAGTTAGGAAAGATTTGGCTAAATCTGGAAACTGGTTAGACATCAGATGTGACATTGACTGCATTGGCTTTGAAACTAGTGAACTGATTCTCGAGGAATTACTTGAAGAGCTCAGTCTAAACTGCCTTAACAACACAGAACACTCTCTGGTTCCAGCTGAGTTGAAGACAGATGAGAGCATCCTTATTTTATGAAAAGGTCATGAAAAGTGAAAACTCTCTTTTTAAAGACAAAGCCAATATGTTTAGAGACAGCAGCAAGCTCTGAAACATAGCCTCACTGTCACCATTGCTAACTTTCATTAGCGCAGAACCATGTAGATACTTTGTCTTACTTATTAACTCTCAGAGAGCTGCCACGGCTGACTGAGAGAAGAGATCCTTCAAAGATCAGCCCGGAAACTGTTTGTGGTGGGGGCCCATTGTAGAATCACTTTCAAAGACAGGACCATTCATCTCTTCTTCTCATAGGGTATATAATACATTTATTTGTAATCTGAGTGTGTTTGTGTTTGTATGTTGAGTGCGATGCAGATAGATGTGGTAGTGTTTCGGTTTCATTGATTTGTATGTGTGTAATATTATCAGAAGTTGACATAACAAGGTATCATTGATTAAGAGTGTGATCTGGTACAATTTTAGAGTCCCTTTTGTTTTTTTTTTTTTGTCAAACCTTGCATTTCATAAAACTTAATACGAAACATAGTTCTCAATCTCAGAGAGATTGTTCGAGAACTGAAACAGAGAATGTTTAACCAACCTATCTGCCGGTTCATTACAAAGTCTAGAGATAAACTCAAAAGAGATAGAATTGAAGGATTGTCTCAACACGCCGATGTCATGGAGAATCCCTCGGAGAGCTACCACAGATTTGTTTCCTATGATCACTTCAATAAGACTTTTAGAATGTGTTAGACAGATTATGTCTTTTATACCTGCCACAACAGCCTTTGAGAGGCATGTCCTTAGCGCTAACGCTTCTGCTACTAAAGCTGAAGGTATATAACGCTTGTTGTCGGTTCCTAGGAGAGTAGAGGTGCGTGATGAAGATGTAACTATCCAGCTCATCCCACCTGTAAGAGTGATACTATTCCAGGCCGCATCTGAGAACATAAGGCTAATGTTTTCCGACACATGAGAGTAATTGGTCACACCATTTGAGGGTCTCTTATCTTTCTTTGAAACAGAGGTTTTTTTTTTGGTGGCAGAAAACTTTGCCACTCTTTTGCCGCTTTGATTGCTTTAATCAACATCTCTGTTTCTGAGAAAGATTTATCCTCAAACACCAATTGATTCCTACTAGTCCACAACACCCACAATATCCAAGGGTAGAGGGGAGTAGAAAGACCTGTTGGCGGTAAGGTTGTCATATGAGCACAATACTTGAGTAGATCCTCGATCGAGTTACAGCCTCTCGTTACTGGATAGGCCAATGCAAGGACTAATTCCCAGACCTTCGCCGCTGTACAAGTGAACATGACATGAAAGATGGATTCATTCTCTCCACATCTTTTGCATTTGCCATCCACCAACATTCCTCTCCTTTGGAGAGTTTCACCTACTGCCAACGCATTACTCTTCAGCTTCCATAGGAACTGTTTGATCTTTGGTGAGCATTCCACATTCCTAACATAACGCTTCCAGTTAAACGTTTCTTGCAGGTTCCCATTGTTCACTTTTGCAAGAGCATATCCCGATTTAGTAGAGTATTCACCTGATTTCTCAGCTAACCACACTAGTTCATCTTCTCTTAACTCTAAGCTCGGCACAATGCTCAAAATTTGCATCTTATACTGGGGCAGGGTGCGCATAATTTTCTCGACATTCCAACCCGTTGAGTTAGGTATCGTCAGATCCTTAACTCTGAGATTTTTGTTATGTTCTCTCGGGGGGCCCATAGGGGAAGCTTGCTGCTCTGAGGAAAGCCATTTATCATTCCAAATACTGATTTTTTCTCCATTTCCGACACTCCATCCCATGCCCTTTCTTAGTACTTCACGACCCGCTAAAATCCCTCTCCATCCATGTGATGCGGAATTTGGCGCTGAGCAAGAGAGTAGGGCCGATCGAGTCTCGACAGTATTTGTTGAGGAGAGTTTGTCCTAGCAGTGAGGACGGGTTCCTGAGAAGTCGCCAAGTGTGCTTAGCAAGAAGGGCATCATTAAATACTTCTATCTCTCTGAATCATACCCTCCAGCACTCTTTGGGTAAGTCAACCGATCCCAAGAAACCCAACTCATCTTCCTCAATTCTGGTTTCACTTCCCACCAGAAACGAGTTAAAACTGATTGTATCTACTTGCACAAAGAGACCGGTAATTTAAAACATGACATGGCATACGTCGGCATAGATGCTAGTACAGCTTTGAGCAAAACCATCTTGCCAGCTCCTGTTAAAAATCTGCTTGTCCAGCTATGCGCTCGCTGTCTTATCCGGTCTACAATCGATGCGAAGATATCCATTTTCCTGCGTCCAAAGTGCTCCAGGAGCCAAAGATACTTTCCAATACCTCCTTCACTGCTTATGTTGAGCTCCCTTTTCACTCTAATCTTGCATTCATGCTTTGTTTTTGAGGAGAAGGTTATTGCAGATTTCGCCCTGTTTATGGACTGTCCTGAAGCCGCCTCATATTTTGAGAGTATGGAGATTAAAGTAGCACAGCTGGCGACATTTGATTTGCCAAAAAACATTGTGTCGTCAGCCAACAACAAATGATTAATGGGCGGGCAGTGGCGGCCCTACTTTAACTCCTGGTAGAGTCCCACTCTCAAGAGCTTTGTTACACAGGCCCGACAAAACTTCCGTACACATGATTAACAGGTAAGGAGGGAGTGGGTCTCCTTGTCTTAGTCCCCTGGGTGGGCAGACCTTTCCTTGCGGGCCTCCATTGATGAGGAAAGAATATGAGACAGACGAGACACATTCCATCACCCAAGTAATCCATGTCTCGTGAAATCCCATTCTCCTCAAAACTTCTTTTAGGAAGCTCCACTCAATTCGGTCGTAAGCCTTACTCAATTCGATCGTAAGCCTTACTCATATCTGTCTTTACTGCCATTGAGACTCTCTTCTCCGCTCCCGATTTCCTCAAATAATGTAGGACCTCATGAGTGATTAGAACATTATCTAAGATCGCTCTTCCCGGCACGAAGGCTGACTGAGACGGTGAGATTAGAGACTCGAGGAGAGGTTGTAATCGCTTAGATAGAATCTTCGCAATTATCTTGTAATGTGTATTACACAGTGCAATTGGTTTGTACTCCGATACCCTTTTTGCTCATGTCCCTTTAGGTATAAGCCTGAGGTGATTCTCATTTTGTCTCGAGTGCAGAGTTTTGGATTTGAAAAAATCCCGGATGTCTCTAACAATGTCGTCTCCTATAACGTCCCAAAACGTTTGGTAGAAGCTCGCCGAGAAACCATCAAAACCGGGTGCTTTATCCGGGTTTATCGAAAACACAGCAGCTTGGACCTCCCCTTTGTCCGGAATTTTGATCAGTTCCTCATTCATAGCCGGGGTAAGACTTGGCGAAATCGCCTCTGCTACCACTGCTTCTGATTCTGTATTCCCTGTTGTGAACAGCTGCTGATAGAATCGGGTAAAAGCATTAACTATCTGATCTTCTTCGTATAATGCTTATCCCTCCTCATTCTCAATAATAGAGAATTTTTTACAGGCTCTACGACCTCTTGTGGTGGAAGAAGCTAGAGTTCCGATCCCCTCCATTTAACCATTGGATCCTACTTCCTTGCCTCCAGAAAGCTTCTTCCTTCCTCTGCGTACGCTGCTTCCAGAATACCCTTTAATTCCGTTATACTTCCAGGTTTGGGGATAGTTCAGAAAGGGATTCCTCCAGAAGGGTTTGATTCGAGCTTATAAGTTCTTTTGAAGTGGCCGCTTAGCCCATTCTATTAGCTTCCTTCTAACTTGGTTAATTTTGGTCAAGACCGAATCTGTCGCTGAGGCCTTCTAAGTAGTTTCAACTATCTCCCTTATCTCTGGTTTTTCACTAAGCCTCCTATCATATCGAAACATGCCTTTCTTTTTCTTTAGGTTAAGGTCAAAATGAGTACGAAGAGGGCGATGGTCGGAGCCTTCGAAGCGAAGGTATTCGCTTCTCGCTGCTGGGATCATCTCCATCCAATCCAGATTTGCCATTGCACGATCTAGCCGAGATTGGATGAAGTGTGAATATCTTGTGCCTCTCCAAGAGAGGGAGTTTCCTGTGAACTGAATATCCCAAAGTCCATTTTGTGAGACGAAGTTACGGAAAGATAGGAAAGAACCCTCCCATCTCAAAGGACCTCCAACCTTTTCCGAGTTATCTAGCAGATCGTTAAAGTATCCGGTTAGGAGCCATGGGGCTGTTCTTCCTAATCATATCTCCGTCATCAGTTGCCAAAAACGTGACCTATCTTCTTTGTTTGGGGCTCCATAGATGTACGATACAAAAAACTTTTTATTATTGAACTCAATCTTTGTATCAATTACATCTGGTGAAGAGAATAGGACATCAAGATGTACATTATCCTTCCAAGAGAGGGCCATACCACCGCTTAAGCCCACTAGTGGAACCGTAAAGTGATTTTTAAAATCAGTGCCTTGGTACATCTTGAAGATCTCTTCATCCTTTCTTTTTGTCTCCATCAAGAACATTATATCTGGGGAGTTCTTTAAGAAAAACTCCTTCAGACGACGAACTGTCAGGTCGATCCCAATACCTTTACAGTTCCAGCTCAGGTTGACTAAGGAAGAGGTTTTGGAGCGGACCGAAAATCCGCTCCTTTCTTCTTTATCGCTGGGATTAAATTAGTACGAGGTCTGCTCCCTCCGGCAACTATGGAAGGACCTGCATCATTCGTCCCTGAGTCCTTTGAAGGTCTTCTCTTTGGTGATTTCTGTCCTTTAGTAACCCTTCTTCGCTTTGTCATCACAAGAGGGACATGGCTTCTTTGTCCTCTTTTCTTTAGGTTTACACCGGTGCTTTGAGCTTTCACCTCCCCTACCACCGAGGCAGTTCCAATGTGAGTCCTTGAGGTTGTGCCTCTAGCTGGAGGGGGAGGGATTTCCTCATTCTCTGAGCTAAAGAGTGGTCCAAGGCGAAGGGAGACATGGACTCTGTCTTCGCTAAGCGTTCGGATTGGGGAGCGGTCTTGGTCCACATCATAATTATTTGCACTTTCCTGCAATGGAT